TCTTTCTTTCTTTCTTTCTTTCACAGAGTCTCTCTCTCTCTCACCCAGGCTGGAGTGCTGTGGTGCGATCTTGGCTCACTGCAACCTCCACCTCCCAAGTCCAAGCAATTCTCCTGCCTCAGCCCCCCGCAGTAGCTGCGATTACAGACACCCACCATCACGCCTGGCTAATTTTTGTATTTTTAGTAGAGACAGGGTTTCACCATGTTGGCCAGGCTGGTCTTGACCTCCTGACTTTGAGTGACCCACCCACCTTGACTTCCCAAAGTGCTGGGATTACACTCATGAGCTACTGTGCTCCGCCAACTGGTTATTCTTAATGTCCCATTTGATGGGTGAAGACTTGAGGTCTAGACAGGTTGAGTAAATTACCTGAGAGCTGACAGGGAGATAAAGTTGCGAACAGGGATTTGCATGTAAATTGTTATCATGGCCCTTACTTGTCTACTATCTTGTGCTGTTGTTATCCCAATTTTATAAAACTGCAGGGGAAACAAGCTCAGAGAGGTTGGGCTCGTGCTTGAGGCCACACAGCTCATCAGTGGGACTCACTCAGGAGTATCCGGCCCACGTGATGGATGTACTATCCTCCGCACGGTCTCTCCCAGGGACCAAGGCTGCATTACAGCTCAGAGTGAGGCCCTATGTTTAGTTTGACACATCTGCACCGCGGGCCAGGCCTGCAGGTCCCGAGGATGGGGAATAGGGTGGCGAACTCAGCAAGTTGGGCCGTGTCCTCAAGCAGCTGGCAGGTGAGGGAAGCTGGCCTCACTCAGCCTGTGCCCTGTGGCAGCATCTCAGCTGGGTCAACACGTACACCACAGGGGACCTCGGTTGTAGGAGTGTGGGTGCCTGCTCCCTCTTACAAATCACCCGTCTCCAGAGATGCTGAATCACTCACATTAGCGTGTATAAACAAGCACGGTTTGGAGGGGTGCGTTTTCCATCTGCAATAAAGCTTCTGAATCCTGTTCCCAAGATCCAACATCATTTAACATGATATCATGAATTCCATTAAATAGCTGATATGTGACATAAAAGCGGCTCTTAGTCATTTTCCAAGAACTTGACAACCACAAGATGGCACGGTGCTGGGAATGGTCCAATCCAGAAAGCGAAGGGCTCCATCCCAGAGCAACCTTGCCCTGCTCAGAGCCCCTCCCAGGCCACTGCGGACCAGAACAGGCCTGTGCCTTGTAGCTTTCCCCCAGAGCACCTTCCCTGTCACCTCAGCCCTGCTCCTCTCCAGTGCTACCCTGCTCCCTGACCATGCCTGAAATCATACTGCACACTTGCCCTGTGCATTTCTTTATTTTCTGGCCTCCCCACTGGTTCCTGTTCTCCCAGAGCCAGGATTTTGTATTGGTGCCTGCTGCAACCCTGCTCACGGGGTATGGCATATTGCAAACTCTCATAAAGATCTGCTGAATAAATACCTGACATCTATAAACAGAACTTAGTGTTAGACAATGGTACAAATGTGAATATAAAAAGGGCTTTGTTGGTGATTTGCCGTATGCCAGGTACTGTATGAAGAACTCTGTCATTTCATTAAGTCTCATAGCAATGAGGTACATTCTAAAGCAATCACCTTTTTACAGATTAAAAAAAAAACAAAAAAAAACCAAAACAACAACAACAAAAAAAACAGTGCTCAGAGATATCAGGCAACCTGCCTGAGGCCACCCAGAAAAGACATGGTGGTTAGGATCACAACCCAGACCTCTCCAGTTCTAACACTCAAACTCTGTGTCCGTGCTACCGCTTCCCTCCCCGACATTTCTTACACAATGCTTGGCATGGACCTGGCTTTCCAAAGCATGTACTGAAGGAATAGATAATCTTTTTGGGCAGAATTTAGTGGTAAAAGAGGCTAAGAGACATTCATCGTCATGGTGGTCTGATAGGTTCATTTCCTGTTTTGTTTTCTTTTTTCAGTCATAGCTTAGAATGTTGGAGACAGTAACAAACTCTTCCTAAAGTCTCCTAGGTTAGGTGCCAATGCCAAGAAGTATATAATTTCTCGGGGTGCACAGATGAGTTCGGTCTGCTTCCTGCCTTCAGCAGGCTTCCCTCTAACCTGCTGGGAGCTTTCCCCGGTGTCTGAGAGGCAGTTTCAGGCGAGTGCTGGGATGCACTGTCTTCAGACCCCTCTGAGAACCTGGTCTGCAAAAGGATCTGATTGTGGGGGAATGTGGACAAGCATGTGCTGGTGGCCGTGGAAATAACTCATAAAAAGACACCCACCGTGTGAATTTGTCATCATACGCTGAGTGTCGCATATTAAGGGTCTCATGCAGTTGCCACAGAGCCCTATCCAGTAGGCATCAGTGCTCTCCTTCCACAGTGAAGTACCCGAGACTCTTGTGGGTCATGTGACTTGCCCAGTGTCACATACACATGGCTGCTCAGGATCAAATGCCCATCCTCACCCTTGACCCTCTCCTAAGCCCAAAGCCCCTGCTTTTTCCGTTACTTTACATTGACAATGCATATAAGGGCCTCTCAGAGGAAAATTAAACTGAACTAAGGAAAAACAAAGCCAAGCAGAATCCTTTCAAATAATGCAGTATCATGAAGACAGTGTATTCCTCTGTGACGTTTCTCTCTTTAAAATCATGAAACTCAAAAGCTGCCAAACTATTACCCAAGCAAAGCCCAAATGCAAGGCAAAAATGTGGCTGCAGAAAAGAAAGCCCTCGTGGCCATTTGCCTATGGAGCCAGCCTGCATGCGCGAAGTGCACACATCTAGGCTTTGTGAACACCAAGGCCCTGCGGCTCTCACACAGCCAGGACACCGTCCGTGTGTCTCACGCTTGAGCACATGCACACACATTCTCTTGAGAAAGCCAGTGTCTGTGTTCTCCTGCACCTTCTTCGTGGAGTTGAAGCTGAAGCTGTGTATCTCATTACTCAGGGGCTTGTCTCCTCCCTGAATACACCCTTAAACGATGCCCTCCACTTCCGTTCTCCTGGGGCGGGATGGGCAGGCTGCCTTTGCAGAAAGTGGATGTGATTTTCCTTTGTCTCTTAGACTCTTCCTTCCCCAAACTTACTCCCAGCTTTTCTCTTTGAACAGGTTTTGACCTGATGGATTTGTTCAGTGTGAAGGAAATCTTGGGGAAGAGAGAGAACGGAGCGCACAGTTCCTATGTACGGATGGGAGCTTTCCCTGTGGTGCAAAGTACTGAGTGAGTGGCCACTTCTCTTTCCAGACATGCCCAGGGTGCCTGGGGAAAGGGCAAGAAGGAGTGCAGCAGCCTCAGTTTTATACTTGGCATTGAGCTGGGCTTTAATTGACTCACTGCCTGTTAAGGTTGCCCCATGATGAAGCAGATGAACAACTGGACCAGGGAATTCAACCTGTTTTTGTAGCCAATTTATTATCATTGACTTCATTGATTCTTTGGTCTTTCTACACCCATCTCTCCATACACATTTGGCGTTAATCATTCATTCATTCATACATGTGTTCTTCTGTCCATTCATGAAATAACAAACAGGTATGGTTTAGTAGTTTATAGCACCTGCTAAGGACCTGACACTGCCTTCGTGGTAGGTGTGGGTTCACTGGAATCATGAAGTGGCTTTGGCCAGTTGAGACTGAGTATCAGTGTTGACTGGTACCTGGCTTTACACATTACTCAATGCCCTTGTGCCTCAGTTTTCTCTCCAAAGCAAATGTTCCTGCCTTGCAACATTATTGAGAGGATATGATGAAAAGATTTGTCCAGTTCCTGACACTTATTGGGTCTCCAGTCAAGGGCTAAAGATGATACTAAAATCAATGCTCTATTCTTCTTATGAGAAGCAGGCAGGTCTTTTGAAAACAAAAATGATATTGTTACAGGAAGGGGGTCGCAATCCAGACCCCAAGAGAGAGTTCTTGGATCTTGTGTAAGAAAGAATTTAGGGCGAGTCTGCAGTGCAAAGTGAAAGCAAGTTTATTAAGAAAGTAAAGGAATAAAAGCATGGCTACTGCATAGACAGAGCAGCCCCGAGGGCTGCCGGTTGCCCATTTTTATGGTTATCTCTTGATGATATGTTAAACAAGGGGTGGATTATTCATGCCTCCCCTTTTTAGGGTAGCTTCCTGATGTTGCCGTGGCATCTGTAAGCTGCCTTGGTGCTGGGGGAGTGCAGCAGTCAGGACGGCCAGAGACCACTCTCGTGGCCATTCTGGTTTGGGTGGGTTTTGGCCGTCCCCTTTACTGTAACCTCTTTATCAGCAAGGTCTGTATGACCTGTATCTTGTGCTGACCACCTGTGTCATCCTGTGACTTAGAATGCCTTAACCATCTGGGAATACAGCCCAATAGGTTTGAGCCTCTTTTTCCCCAACTCCTGTTTCAGAGGGAGTAGCTCTGGTTCACACGCGTCTGACAATATCGTGTCATGCAACCTATCTTCCATCTTTAAACTGTTAATATTTAATTGCTTCCACTGTTCTTAGTAAACCCAAAGGCCAGGAAGAGGAAGGCCCGTGAGACCCGGCCCTGTCCTGTCTTTGTGGTCTCCTGGCTCATCCTCCAGGCCTCCCTGTCTGCCTCCTGTCTCTGTTCTAGGGTCTGCCGATCACCTTCCTCCCACTGGGAGGCCTTACTTCATGTTCTTCCTCTACCTGAGGCACCTGCCCTGCTCGTCCTTCAAAGCATGCTCACCCATTATGCTCTCTAGATGCATTCCTTGAATCCCCAAAGTCAGGCCTTCCCCTTACCTACCCTCCTCACAATCTGTACTTCTGCACAAAATGTGGTAAAGTTGAAGTTACCTGATCAATTGTGCAATAGTCTTTTCTCCCCTGCTCAATGAGAAGTCCTAGAAAGGAACTGAGTCTTGTTTTCTCCTACGGTCTTGGCACCTAAGTCCTGCTTGGAGTACGAAATGAGGAAATATGTGCTGAATGAATGAGTGGACAGCCCATAAGGAGTGAAATGCTCTTTCAGATGCTAGTCTGGCAAAGACAGGCTTTGAACGTCAGCTCATAGAGTTTGGTTTCTGCATGTGTGTGATGCTTTTTGTTTTTTTAATTCAGTGAGCATTCTCTGAGTGCCAGCCATGCACCAGGCACTGTGTCAGACCCTAATGTCATCTTATCCATGGCTCACAGTGCCTGCATGCCAAGAGCGATTTTACAGAAGAAGAATGGAAACAGGTCACTTCCTCTCTGAGTCTCATTTTTATGAAATGAGGACAGTAATCACTCTCAGCCAACTCCTGGGAGAGGCATCTTCCCAGACAGCCAGGTTGTTCTCTTTACACACACAGCCAGGTGCTGGGGGGTGTTATTATGAATCAAAATTTGGGGGGTACACAGGGATGAGCAGAGTCTAGACCCTGTTTCCTTCTTCACTCTCCCTCACTTCTTTGCCTAATATGTCCAATTCAACACCCGCTGCATTTGTAAGCAGAAAAAAATCGCGAGGAACTTTAAGAAAAAAATGCAAAAGAGAATGAACAGAACAAAGAAACAAATGTCACTGAAATCTAGTGGCAGGGCCTAACTGAGGACCACTCTGTTTGCAAACCTTCTAAGGAAGCCCTTGGGTCAAAGAGCAAAGCGGCTGAATGCAGGCGGTGCTCTGTGGAACACAGCAGGACCCAGATTCTGGGTTGTGGATTTGGGCTCCTTCCTGTTCTCTGAGAGTTGCTCTGAGGAGGAATTTCCATGTGGTTCCATGTTTGTTTTAATGGCAAAGCACCCCAAACAAAATCAGATTGGCAAAGCTTTTTCATTTCAAGAAAGGATAGTATCCTTTTAATTTCGAATTCTTTGAAATGTAAACACACGTACATAAAATTTTAGTTTGCAAATTAATTTTGTCCGTAAAGAAAAGAGATGTCACTTTCAATACTGATATGTTTTTCTTGCCTGTTAACATGTAAAGGGTATTTACACACCTCATATAATGTATTTCTCATGACAATGACATAAAGTGAGCAAGGCTGGTATTATGCTTTTCCGTTAGTTGATACAGCATTTGAGACTTGAAATGGGACAGTGATTTGTTCGACCCCTCACAGTTCAGAAGAAACAGAGGCTAGCCTCAAACTCAGGTCCTCTAATTCCACACCCTTTACCCTTCCACTGTCATCTCATATCTGCTGTATTATTTGTGGAAAAGATTGAATTTGGCGATTTTCTTTCTTCAGATGTTTTCTGTTAATTATCTTTTTCTCTCCCTGATTAAAATGGCTGATGCATATATGTATATATAGGCACATGTTGGTATATATATACACAGACATACACATATACCCATATATGTGTGTGTATAACCTAAGCAAAAGTTATAATCAGGGGAATAAAAGGTCATTAACAGATAAATCTGTACTTTTTCTTATGATATACTTGTCTGTGTGTATTTCAAAGGTATAAAAAGGAAGTGTGTTCGGGGGAAAAAAAAGTAGCATAATTGGATTCATTAAGAAAATGAGAAAATGGCTGGGTGCTGTGGCTCATGACTGTAATCCTAGCAGCTTGGGAGGCTAAGGCAGGTGGATCACCCGAGGTCCAGAGTTCAAGACCAGCCCGGCCAATGCGGTGAAACCCTGTCTCTACTAAAAATACAAAAAATTAGCCAGCCATGGTGGCAGACACCTGTAATCCCACATACCCAGGAGGCTGAGGCAGGAGAATTGTTTGAGCCTGGGAGGCAGAAGTTGCAGTGAGCTGAGATTGCACCACTGCACTCCAGCCTGGGAGACAAAGAAGGACTCTGTCTCAACAAAAAACACAAAACAAAACAAAAAGAGAAAGAAAGAAAGAAAAGGAGAAAATGAAAAACAAAGCCAAATATTGATCTGTGGCTACAAAGCCTGTGCCCGTGGATACAGGTGGGGAGGTCCCATCTTCCTCCTGCAGGGACAGTGACTGAGGCCATCTCTGAATCCTGTGGGACGCCCAGGAGCTATGAGTGATGGGCCCTGTGCCTACTACTTGGATGTGGTCCTGAGTGAAATCTCAGCTCAGAGAATGACTTTGAACATCTGGGCCATCATGTCCTAGCCTGGAGCTGTAAACTGAGAGTCAGAATCTTGCTCACAGATTCTACAGCCAAACAATGTCCCTGTGGATCTGCTAGTCTGAGAACCAGGAACTCAGACGCCTCCCCACTTCCCCTCCTGGCTCTCTGGCCAGACAGAGTTCACCCCCTCCAGCAGGGAAGTCAATACCATGTACATTCCTGAGGCAGCCCCCAGCCTCAAGGGCAGGATTCGGCTCCTCCTCGCAGGCTCTGCTGTTAAGGTGCAGTAAGCTGGTGGTTAAGAGGAGAACACAGGAGAGCAGGTTCCAGGTGCGTCTCCCTCTGCCACCCAGATGGCATGGAGTTAACCCCTCCAAGCCCGGGTGCCCTCAGCTGTAGCACGAGGATGGAAATACCTTCTTTATACATTCTCATGAGGAAGAAATTAGGTAATATATAAAAAGAGTACTGGTGAGCTTGTGTTAAATTCTCAAAAGATATTTATTTTTATTAAATCTTAGAATTTTTTTTTTTTTTGAGACAGAGTTTTGTTCTTGTTGCCCAGGGTGGAGTACAATGGTGGGATCTCGGCTTACCACAACCTCCTCCTCCCTGGTTCAAGGTATTCGCCTGCCTCAGCCTCCCGAGTAGCTGGGATTACAAGGCACACATCACCATGCCTGGCTAATTTTGTGTTTTTGGTAGACATGGGGTTTCTCCATGTTGGTCAGGCTGGTCTCAAACTCCCGACCTCAGGTGATTCACCCACCTCGGCCTCCCAAAGTGCTGGGATTACAAGCGTGAGCCACCTCACCCTACCTAAACTTAGACTATTATGTCAAATGAGATCCTATGTGTATGTACTTTGTTGAATCTGAGAAATACTATGAAAAAGTAAGCTAACCTTTATTTTGGTAGGATGTAAGTCAAGGATAGATCACTGGTTCTTAACCAAGAGAAATTTAACCCCTACCCCCAGGGGACCTTTGGCAGTATCTAGAGGAAATTTTGTTGTCACAACTGGGCGAGGGGTTGCTACTGGCATTGCGTGGGCGGGGGCCAGGGATGCTGGTCAGGCTCCTGCGAGGCATGGGGCAGCTCCCAGGTCTGTGTTGTCTTGGATGTATCCTCCGGGAAAAGTAACTGGGCCCTGTACTAGCACCAGGGAAAGAGAGGTTTCTCCATGGAAATGGCTGTTGACAGTCTTCAAAGTTTGCATTCCTTCAACTTTTATGAAGTGCCTGCTGTGCTGCAGGGACCTGAGTGGGTGCTGAGGGACAGGGATTTGTCAGTGTTTCCTTGCCAGGGACCTCACGAGGAACACGTCGGGAGCCTGGAGAGCTAGAAGACAGGTGGCAGGGAGTGGAGCAGATGGGGAGAGATGCGGAAGGAGGGGGTGATGTACGTGACGTTTCCCAGAACCCTGTTGTGAAGGGAAGGAGAGGAAGAAAGAGAGGAAGTGGGAGGTTGCTCAGGTCCTGGCTGGGGATGTGCAGTCAGTTTTGGTGGGGGCACGTTTTGGTTGGGGTGGCGGGGTTCTGTGCTTACGTGAGAGAGGCAGGAGGGAACTCAGGTGTCCTGTTCATGATACAGAGGAAGATGGAAGAGCAGCTGGCCTGAGAGTGCTCCGAGGACAGAGGGACTGAGGGACTGGGTCTTGGTTCTTGGTGGGCGGATTGAGCCTCCACAGAAGGGAAATAACATTTTTCATTTCTGAATTTGGAAGAGGAAAGGCAGCTCCAGGACTGGTGGGGGTGGAGCAACAGGGAGCTGAGGCCTCCTCCAGGTGAGAGGCTGGCTCTACAGTGAGGCAGGAACCTGGGCCTTGTGGGAGAGAAGAGGATGCTCCATCCCCATCTATTCTGGCTGTTACGACAAAGCACTGTCAGCTAAGCCAGGTGGCTTATGCACAGCATTTATTCCTCATGGTTCTGTAGGCTGGGACGTTTAAGGTCATGATCCCCATAGACACCATCCTTCCTGCACTCTCACATGGTGGAAGGGGTAACCAAGCTCTCTGGGGTCTTTCTTTTAAGGGCATGAATCCCATTCATGAGCTTTCTGCCCTCCTGACCTAATCACCCCAAAGCCCCATCTTCTGTTACCATCACCTTGGTGTAAGGATTTCAACATATGGATTTGGGAAGATAGAAACATTCAGACCATGGCATCCTGGCATCTGGGACAGGACACCAAGAAGGATGAAGTATATCCATTTGTCCTGGTCGGGGAGCAATTCAGCAGGGAGCAGTGAAGCTGGGAGTCTCTCCATATTTGATCCCAGGGGTGTGACCAGTTAGCATTTACCGTGGATGTCATCAGTCATGGTGGTGGCAGAGAGATGGAAGCTGACGCACTGTAGGGATGGATTTGAAGGTGCTGAGGTTGGAGCCTCGGGGGCCATGACTACTGTCTAGGTCACACTAGGCCCCGACCTAAGGAGAAGGCAGGGAAGGCAGGCCAAGAAGGTGGCTGGTGGAAATATTTAGGAAGTCAAGTTGGCAGTACTTGATCACTGGTGGGTTGTGTGGGCTCACTTCGCTGGCTCCCTGTTCTCATTGCCAAGCCTGGTGTGTTTGTCTCCATTCTTCTCCAGGGATGTGTTTCCCCAAGGTTTACCTGATGAGTACGCCTTTGTCACAACCTTCCGGTTCAGGAAAACATCTCGGAAGGAAGACTGGTATATCTGGCAGGTCATCGACCAGTACGGCATCCCACAGGTAAGAGCAGCACTGCCTTATCTCAGTGGTCCAGAGCTTTCTGTTTCCCTCTCATGGTGGGGATGGCATCACCCACCATGTTTTATCCAGGGCTCTTATCCCCGGGACTAGAGAGATCGAGAGCTTGGCATATGGAGGCTCAGAGGACCTGCGGGGGGATGTCACGAGATGCAAGAGGTCCAACTTCCTGTCCTAATGATAACATAGTACCAGGCCTTCCAGTGGGGTAAAGAAGGCTGAGTTCCTGTCCTCTGAGACTCTCTTGGCCTAGCCAAGGAGATAGATGCCAGCTCTGCGGCCCTATGACACCTGCTGTATTGGCAGCATGAGTGACCTGGCTTTGTGATGCGGTGGAGTGCACTGGCTCGGGATCACACAGACCTGGGTTCAAGTCTCGTGTCTACCCCTTTATTGGCATGGGTCCTAGGATGGGCTACTTTATCTTTCTGGGTCTTGGTTTTCTTAGCTGTATATTGGAAAACAGCGTACCTACCGTGAACGCTTGGTGGAAGAATCAGATGGAATGATGTAAAGCATCTAGAACAGCGCCTGATATGTAATAAGATCTCATCATGAGAAGTTCCTTTCAGTTTTCTTCTGAATGAAGCTCTGGGTCCTATCTTTACTTGCCTCTGGTGTGTTTCAGCTTTCATTTCCCACGAAGTTAGGACAGCTCTCCACCAGCACACAGTCCGGTGAGGAAAGACAAATCTGAAATTCAAAGCCATCAACACCATCTGTTGGTTTGAGATAAAAGCAACACTACTATTTATTCTCTGCCAAATCCAGATCCTCTTGTTATCAAGTTCATAGACCAACTATTTCTTTCTCCTTTCTTAGAAAAATGAACTGGGAGAAGCTATTACTCACTTTCAGCTGGGAGATACTGACTAAACTTTCACTAGGGGCTAAAATAAAATAAAAGCATGCTCAAGCAATCGGACTCCAGCAATCACACTCATGGCCTGCCATCTGAAAGGGCAAGATTCTCTTAAACAGTGAGCTCACCCTCCCAGGTTGAGACTGGACACTGACTTCAGATGCATTTGCTTATCAACAGGTCCCTGCTCTTAATAGGAGCTGGGGATTGTTCAGAGGGCTTTACAAGTATTAATTCATTATTCGTAATAACCCTCTGAATATTTTCTACTGTTAGCATCATACAGATGAGGAAACTGAGCCACAGAGAGGCTGAAAAATTTGCTTACCTTTTGACAGGTAATAAGAGCAGGAGATGAGATTTAAACCCAGGCATTCAGGTTCCTACATCTGTGCTTTAAACCACATGCTCATCTGGCTTCTGTTCCAAGCCTGTCCTGATCAATTAGTCCTGTCGAATGATTTTTCCATAACATCCCTAGCCATACTGAGATGCAGAGACATTTTGAAATTTAAGTGCTGAGAGGCTTGATTTTGTAAGTGTGGGAGGCTGAATGGAGAAGTTGAGATTCTTCTCCAGAGGCCACTTTTCTGGAGAAGTCTTTGCGTTCCCCATTCCCATCCAACTCCATCTCCAATTACACAGGTCTTGCATCTCCATTTGCTCAGGGTCCGGTGCAGTGGGACTGGGCACCTGCCATGACATTCTTGTGGGTGAGTCTGCACCGCCCCCTCAGTCTGGGATCTCTTCCTTCACGGCATTTGCAGAGCTGTCTGTGCCCTGTCCGACACTTGTGCATCCTCCCCTCCCTCTGTCAAAATAAGCAATGGGGTGCAATACCGCCATACCACAGAGCCATGCAGAGATGAAGTCTGTCTTGAGATTTGAGATTCCTGTGTAAAGAGGCACCCAGAAATTTATTCTTGTTAAGCCAGGCTTGGTTGAGTGCCCATCGCCAGAAATGCCAATGATGCTCCCTTCCATTCTTTGGGGAAATACTGGCTAGACACTGGAAAATTGGATAGAGATCTGTAAGAAGATGATCTATGAGTAGATTAGTGTTCATTGCGTGACCCATGCACTCTGTCAGTCATTGTAGATGTACAGAGAGAGAAGTTCATCTAGAGATACAGATGCACATGCTTTTATTTGCCATTTACAACCACCCTTAAAAGCTGGCATTTTCCCCATTTGTCATTTGGGTAAACTGAGGGGCATTCACTCATTCCAGATATGATTAAGGGACAGCAAAGAGGCCGGTGCAGCTGGAGCAGAGTGGTGTGTGTGTGTGTGTGTGTGTGTGTGTGTGTGTGTGTGTGTATGCACATATTGGGGTTAGTTAGAAATGAAGTTTTAGAGGTGGAAGAAGGCTGGATTTCAAAAAATCTTGTAGGCCAGTATAGGGACTCTTTGTTTGAGAAGAGACTCTGCAGAGGTGCACAGGCCGAGAAATATGAGGACAAATTAGAAGAACACAGTAGTAATCCAGGCAAGTGTGGATGCTGCTGTGACAGGGAGGTTAGGAGAAACAAATAGGTTATAGGTTAATTTTGAAAATAGAACCAGTAGGATTTGCTGATGGACCTGACATAGAAAATGCCTTCCCCAGAGTCACCCTACTAGTATTGGTAGACACAAGACACTGGACTGCTGGGTGCCCTCCCTTGCTCTATATCATGTTGGAGGCAGAAACACTGGGGAAGCCATGTCCCCAGGAAGCTCTGAAGGGCCAGGGACATAGTGCTCAAACATGTGAAAAAGAACACAATGTTTAATCATGGGAGTATTAGACTTTTGTGTATTACAAGCATTAGATCATTAGGCAGGGTTTCACAGTTTTCTATTTTATACCCTTCTCCTAGCATACAATAGGTGACACAATAAAAATAAATCTTAGGTCCTCCTTGGTTGTACTGAAGCCATGTGGAGCCCAGAAAACGAGATCAGAAGACCCAGGTTGTGTAGCTGATGCCCCTGCACTACGTGGGCACCTTGCTTTAACTACAGAGTCTCTCATTCATTTGTTCATTCCTCCATCCATTCAGTACCTTTTTATTTTTATTTTTATTTTTTTGAGATGGCGTCTCATTGTGTCATCCAGGCTGGAGCGCAGTGGCCGATCTCAGCGTACCGCAACCACCTCCTCCCGGGTTCCAGCGATTCTCCTGCCTCAGCCTCCCAAGTAGCTGGGACTTCAGGTGTACACCACCATGCCCAGCTAATTTTTGTATTTTTAGTAGAGACAGGTTTTCACCATGTTGATCAGGCTGGTGTCGAACTCCTGACCTTGCGACCCACCTGCCTCGACCTCCCAAACTGCTGAGATGACAGGTGTGAGCCACGGCACCTGGCTCCTCAGTACCTTTTTATCGAGCGTCACTGTGTGTCATATGTTGTTCTAGCCAAGGGGGTTACATAGATGAAGAGAGAACATGCCTGTTTAAAAGGCTGGGGCAGGAAAGACAAAAAGGTGAACAGGAGACGTGCTTAAGATGATTTCACATACTGAGGCTGGGCTATGAAAAAAGTTAATAAATGGTTGGGCACAGTGGCTCATGCTTGTAATCCCAGCACTGTGGGAGGCCAAGGTGGGGGGATGACCTGATGTCAGGAGTTCAAGCCCAGCCTGGCTAACAGAGTGAAACCTCATCCATACTAAAAATACAAAAATTAGCTGGGTGTGATGGTGCACACTTGTGGTCCACCAGGGAGGCTGAGGCAGAATTGCTTGAACCTGGGAGGTGGAGGTTGCAGTGAGCCAAGATCACCCCACTGTGCTCCAGCCTGGATGACAGAATGAGACTCCATCTCAAAAGAAAAAAAAAAAGAAAAGAAAGAAAAATGAAAAGAAAAAAGTCAACAAATCACATCTTGGGATGTGAGAACAGATGGCCAGGTTCAAATCCAAGAGTATGTGTTAATCAGGGAAGGCTTCAGTGCTTTGATGCCTGTGAACTTATTTGCTTAATTCATTATTGCAAATATTTAGAACAGTATCTGGCAAAAAATAAATACTATATACTGTAAATGTTTTACATATATTATAATTCTCATAATAATCCTTATGACAATTCATTTAATTAATTAGGTTCTCATAGATTATATAATCCTCTTCACAAACAGGCACTACTATTGGTCCCATTTTACAAATGAGGAAGCTGTAGAGAGGTTAAATAACTTACCCAAGGTCACACAGCTGAAAAGTGATTTACTGGTTTAGATGTAGGCCGGCAAGGGGCAGCCCCCACTGAGCACACAGTTTTGACGAGTGCTGTAGCAAACTGACTGGGGTTACGGGAGCTGATGTGGCTGAGGGATAAGGGTTAAGGAAACCAACAAGAAATGCCAGGGCATCCCAGGATCAGCCACAGGAGGAAGCTACCACCTGAGCCTGGATGGGCCGGGGAACAGGGAGGAGATGGTGGGTACTAGAGTCACCAAGGAGGGAACACTTCCAAAGAACCTGTATGCTCAGCAGATTGGAAAAACAATAAAACATTTTACACATATAACTTATACCATTATATAGATATAAATTATATAGATAATGTTTATATATAATGGTACATTCTAGTTATAAATTATATAAACATGGCATAAAGCCACTCCAGTACTACAGGGAAGCAAGGAGGGGTGGGAGGAATAAATGCCCCACCTCTCTCTCTTCCTCCTCATTGGACCCCATTCCAATGGACTTCCAATGGGCCAAGCTCAACTAGAAGCCAAAGGGCCCAGGAGTTGAGGTGAAGAAGCCCTAAAAGGTCAGATCCTGGGAGCAGGGAGCCACAGGGAAGGGCAAAACATGAATATTAGAGCAGATGAAGACTAACCTTGCAAAGATGGGACAAGGAAATACTCATTCTTTCATTCACTCAGTGGATACTCATGTTCTGTGCCTTGTATCCTGTTCATACCTAGTGTATCTGTGGCCCATTGTTGCATTCCTGACACCTGGCATGTTGCCTGCTGGGCACACAGGATGATTCTTCAGGGATGACAAAATGAATACATGGATGAGAATATACCCATTTATTCTTCAAAAGCAACCAGGTTGCCTGCGGTGGCTCATGCCAGTAATCCCAGCACTCTTTGGGAGGCCAAGGCGGCCAGGTCATTTGAGGTCAGGAGTTTGAGACCAATGTGGCCAAAATGGTGTAACCCTGTCTCTACAAAAGTCACAAAATTAGCCAAGCGTGGTGGTGCACACCTGTAATCCTAGCTACTCAGGAGGCTGAGGCAGGAGAATTGCTTGAATCTGGGAGGCAGAGATTGCAGTGAGCTGAGATCACACCAGTGTACTCCAGCCTGGGCAACAGAGTGAGACTCCATCTCCAAAAACCACCACCAACAAAACACAAACAAACCAACAACAATAAAAAACAATCAGAAGTAAAACAGTAAAACCTTCTCCAGAATTTGTCCATTGCACAATGCCTGTGCATCTTGCAAAGGCTAACCAATGACCCAGACAGATCAGACCCCTGCCATCAAGAAATATTATTTTACGGGAGCTCCAGCTTTATCCTCAAGTGAGAGAACATGTAGGTTAACAGATCTGGCCAGAAGATATGTTTGGTTTAACCAGTCCAGGGTTTTAAAAGACAGTGAAACTAATTAGGATTTCTGGTTGTTCTCACGACTCAAGCCCCTCCGTGTGCCAGTTTTCTTGGAGTCTCACCAAAGCTCTCTTACCTACATAGCCCTTCCAGACAGTTGAGGCTGTGACTCCTGGGTTAATGTATGAGTGCAATGATTCCATTTAATACTGGGTTTAGAACAGCCTGAAATGTAGACATTATTAACACCATTGTGTGAGGAGAAACCTGAGGCTCAGAGGTGTGAAGGGGCTGGTCCAAGGTCGGATGGTAGGTGACCAGTTGGTAAGAGTCATAGCTAGGATCTGACTCAGGACTGCTAGACCTGACTCTGAACTCTCCTTTCCCATTCTCTTCATTTCCATTGGCCCCAAGAAGCTCAAAGAGTCTCTGGTCCTTTCCTCCCCAGGTCTCCATCCGGCTGGATGGTGAAAATAAGGCAGTGGAGTACAGCGCTGTAGGTGCCATGAAAGACGCTGTCAGGGTGGTCTTCCGAGGCTCCCGGGTCAATGACCTCTTTGACCGGGACTGGCACAAGATCGCCCTGAGCATCCAGGCCCAGAATGTCTCCCTGTACATCGACTGTGCGCTGGTGCAGACACTGCCCATTGAGGAGCGGGAGAACATTGACATCCAGGGGAAGACCGTGATTGGCAAGCGCCTCTATGACAGTGTGCCCATCGATGTGAGTATCAGGGGCCTTCTGCAGCCCAGGTTCCAGGCCACCAGGGAGAAGACTTGGGGCTAAGTGCCCTCAGTGTTTCCCACACTTGCATGAACCATGTACCAAATATACCTTGGACCATCTTAGAAGGAAAGACCTTGACTCAGAAAACTGCTATATTGGAACCCCAATTCACCATCACCCATTCATTCACTTATCCAGTTTTTCAGCCATTCCATCAATCATTATTCATCACATATACATTGAGTACCTAGTATGTGCCAAACACTGTCCTTAGCACTGGGGACACCAGTACCCACAAAAAGAGAGCAAGGCTGACATGGCTCTGGCTGCATGGTCTGCAAAGGCCACACACACACACACACACACACACACACGTACATATATATGTAAATATATATATGCAGGTAGGTGGATAGATATATATGATAGTTCCTGGCAAATTTAAATACAGATTTTTTTCCTTCTTCCCTGATTGTAAAAAAAATTGGAAAATATAGGAAAATTATGTGGAAAATAACTGACAATCACTCTCATTGCACCAACTAGGAATAACAACTGGTAATAACTGGGCATCTGTCCTTCCATTCTGAGCCAGTGTTCTTTTCTTCTTTGATTTTTTCTTTTCCCTCCTTGCTTCATTTCTCTCATTTCATTCCTTTGTGGTTTTTTCTTCCCTCTAGAAATACATACCCACATATGTACCCAAAGAGACGCATACACCATAAGTATGTGCATAATACGCATGATACACGTAGACACTTTGCACAGTGATCCACACGTTCTGTCTTCAAGCTGAAGTCAATCTTAGCTCCCATGCCCAGGAGCACCCCCCACTGCCTGAGAAATCACGGGAAACATGATGTGGGGAAAGCTCTTCCCAAAACCGTTTTATGTATCCATGTATACATAACCATAAGCAAATATAGTATCATTAGGTATAGGAGAGATTTTTGGAATTTTATGTAAGTAATGGACTGCATCTGGCTTTTTTGTTTTCTCTACTCAAAACTATGCATTTAAGCTTTTAATTTTTTTAAGCTAATGCATACTTTGTTATGTATTCATTCATACATCATTCATTCTCCTGTCAGTGGTATTTAGATCATTTCTAAGGTATCACGATCATAATTAGCAAGCCTTGGACCTTACAAACGGTGGTACACCTCCATGCACTTTACTTACGAGGAAAATGTGAGCAACACCTGCACTTTAGGCTTGAGATATAGATGAATTGATAGCATTTCTTGTGGGTATGTACCCTCAAGTTTAATGATTGGACTGTGGGGTACACAATTGTTAACTTTCCCACATATTTCAAATTTCTCTAGAAAGCAACATTTATATGTGTGTGTGTGTGTGTGTGTGTGTATAAATATATAAACATTAAACATTTGAATAAACATATACATATAATAGATATAAATTGTATAATGTATAGATAGATAATCTGCAGTTTACATGCATTGGGGGACTCTGGGGCCCATCAAGAATATGTGACTCAGAGTTAGGATGCCAAGAGGTGAGGGGGCTGGGATATTGATACTCCAACTGCCACCAGTCCTTGGCTAAGGGCTGTTCCTGGGGGTGTTGATGTCTGCTTGATAACAGATAGCACTGTCTTTGGCAGAGAGGGAAAGCCCTCAGGTAAGACAGGTGGAGGCAGCTGGCAGCACAGCTGGTATGCACTGAAATAATGAGGATATAGATATAAATATTATATAGATAATGTTTATATAATTTATATCTGTAATGTACCATTATATATATAAACATTATATAATTTATATCTATATAATGGTATAAGTTATATGTGTATAATGTTTTATTGTTTTGCCAGTCTGCTGGGCATACAGGGTTATATTGTAGTTTTCATGTGCATTTGCCTGATTACCATTGAGACTGGAAATGCTTCCCTATGTTTACTGATGGTTCCCATGCCCCCCTTCGGTAATCCTAGGCCATATCTTTTGCCTGTTTTACTACTATGCTAATTTTATTTACTAAATGATTTCTAGATAATGTTTGCATATTTTGTATACTAATTGCTTATTTGTCATACATGCTGCAAAATTGTTTCCTGGTCTGTGAAACATAAACCATAAGAAAAAATCAGTAAGTTGGGATGCATAAAGTTTTAGGAAGTAGCGTTCCAGCAAAAGACATCATAAACAAGTTTATAGACTTTGTTATAACTTGCTTTGTTAATGTAACGATAAACCATCAATGTCCCTGTGCATACTGATTTTTAAAAATGAAGCTGAGCCGGGCTCAGAGCTTTGGGAAGCTGAGGTGGGTGGATCACCTGAGGTCAGGAGTTCAAGGCCAGCCTGGCCAACATGATGCAACCTGTCTCTACTAAAAATATAAAAGAAAAATTTATTTTCTATAATAAAAAAATTATAAATTTTAAATTTTTATTATAAAAATAAATTATATATTTATTTAAAAATATATACTTAAAATATATATTATATATTAATTATATATTAATAAATACATTTATTTATAAATAAATAAGTAAATGGGCATGGTGGTGGGTGTCTGTGATCCCAGCTACTCGAGAGACTGAGGCAGAATTGCTTGAATCTAGGAGGTGGAGGTTGTAGTGAGCCAAGATCATGCCACTGCACTCCAGCCTGGGCTACAAGAGCAAAACTCCATTTCATTAAAAAAGAAAAATGAAGCTGAGAGTGAGCTGGTCAGAGGTAGTGGAGGTAGGAGAGACTGGGGGCTGCAGAGGTGGGAGGACTGACACACTCCAACTGCGGCTCACATGCCAGCCACTGCCAGCCAGCTGCCATGCCCGTCACTCAAGCCACACACATTCATGTTTTCCAGACTTTGTTTATCTGTTTGTTTGATTAATCTCTGAAATGGGAGTCACGTTCTGTTTGTTTTTATATGCTATTGCTGAGGAGATGAAATAAGATAATAGATGTGGAACCAAATTAAGCAAAAAATACTAAAATCAAAGTAAAACTATAAAAATCATTAATTCAGCCTGCTACTAATTCTAGCTACTTGTGCAGAGTCTCTGTGCCAGGCATTGCACTAAAGTGCTTCTTTTCCCCATTTCTGACCAAAATCTTTACAACGTTAGAAAGTAGATACAGTGGACACCATCATTTCACAGATGGAGAGAGATGATCCTGGAGAATCTGAGGACTCTTCCGAGATCACAGAGCCGACAAATGGAAGTTAGGGTTTCCACTCAAGCACCCGTCTTCCAGGTCCATTTACAAACCTCTCCCTCCCTAAGATAACATGCATCAAAGGGCTGGACAATATGGAGCTCTGGACTATTCATGACACAAGGATCACTGCTACCTCCCTCAGAGTGGGCATCATAGTCACAAATACAACACTTCTTAATCCTAAATTCAGGCCAGGTGGGTGGATGCTCCTCACATTTTGTAGGTGGGGAGATTCCAACTCAAAAGTGTTAGGCAACTTGCTTATATTCCCTGCCTTGGGCAGTCAGGCTAGAATTCTGGCTCTGTGAGCTGCCTGGTTCTACTGTCAGTCCCGGAAACAGATAACCCCTGAGCTGTAGGGAACCCAGAGAGCATCTTTTCCAGCCCCTCATTTACTTGACAGACAAGGATACTGAGGCTCAGAGGGAATAATAGACATGTCTAAAGATATAGAGCAAGATTAAATCCTTCTAACCTCAGTTCCAAACCTCCAACAATGAGATTTCCATTATATTTCTATTTGAGGTAGTGGAAAAATATATTTGAGTTAAAAGTCTTCTAAAAACAAAAGCCAACTTTAGCGAATAGCCCCATGTCCCTAAAAATGCATGTCCCAGGCTTCAAATTAAACAAAATTGTTTTGGAGTCCAAGCTCCCCTATAGCCTCTCTGATGTTGTTTCCTCAGTTGTAACATGAGAAAAATGATCACTCACTCCACAGGGTTGTTGTGTGATTAAATGCTATGTCATATGTGAAGTGCTTATAAAACTTCCTGGAATGCTGCCAGCATTCCATAAATGCTAGTCATCATGAACATCATCACCACCATCATCACGTTATCATGGTGGTGTTGGGAGGTTTTGAAGACAGGAAGAGGATTAGCTTCCTGGCACTCTCCAAGGTACCCATCTGTATTACATGGTTGACTCCTGAGAAGGGGATTGGAAATTAGACCTGAGTTTCCTTGTGGACACATCCCCACCATATACAACACCCTAGTATAGCAGATGTGGTTGGTTCCCCACCTACATCCCCCTGGGTCCTTGTCATTTCAATGCATACCAGCTGTGCTGCCAACTGCCTGCACCTGTCTTGCCTGAGGGTTTACCCTCTCTGCCTGAGACAGTGCTATCCATTATTAAGTAGGCATCAACACCCCCAGGAGCAGCCCTCCACCAAGGACTGCTGGAAGTTGGAGTATTGATACCCCAGCTCCCTCACCTCTTGGCGTCCTAACTCTGAGCAACATATTCTTGATGGGCTTCAGAGTTCCCCAACACATGTACGCTGCAGGTGGCCACAAGGGTAACACCCTTGATAACAGCCTTTTACTGGTTAACTTCCTTTCCCTAACTCACTTTTCAGCTCTGCTACTGATGCTCCCCAAATAAAATAAATTTGCAACTTCTTACATAGATGTTTTGAGGTATACCAAACTAGACTAAAACACTCAGGCCAGTGGCCTCACCTCTCTGCACCTTCACTTTCTCATCTGCAGGAAGGAGACAGTGGGCTCACCTGTCAGAGCTATCGTGGGCATTGAGTGAGATCATTAATATGTAAACACAGCACTTAACAGTGCCTGGCACATGGGGAGTTCTTAACTGGGTTAGCGGCAATGGAGAACAATGAAGAGTGTCCATAGGGGTATTACACTCATTGTTCCATGTTGCATTTTTGTATTAAAACCACGTGTCAGGAAAATGTATAGGAGAATCAATACATCTCTATCTCTTAGTAAATCTTCCAGAAACATCATCTGTGGTACTTGTAACCACATGGTTTGGGGCATCTTACACATCCTACACTGAAGCTTCATCTGTGGCTGACCCTGTGCTCTCATGGGCTCTCTTTTCCTTGGTCCCCACTACAGCCCTGTGAGTCCCTCTCACAGAAACTGAACCTCAGTTTTCCTGACTTGAACAGCTGATATGAGAGAAGAGCAGAGCTGAGACTCAGACTGGGCCATGCTGAACACAGCCTTCCAGCTTTCTGTGCTCTCTAATTGCTTTCCATACTGCAGCCAGCAAAGGGCCTCCAAGCTACTGATGGGTGGGACACGGAGGGAGCCAAGCAGACCCATGCAGCAGTTCAACACATCATTGCCGAGGGCAGAACCTGAGCAGGACTCCCAGACAGGAGTGGGGGAGCACAGTGATGTCAGGAAGTGAAATCCCAGGGCATAGGGCAGCGAGGCAAAGGAGAGAAGGATTGGGTGGCTAGGGTGATGCTGGGATTTCAGGCAGTTGGAAAGGGGCCTCTCTTGGCTGAGAGGACCTCTCACCCCACCTGAGAACGCTTCTGGCTGCCCAGATCCCAAGCCAGCATGCTCTGTCCCTGGCCTGCCTCCTGTCTCCTTATCCTTCCCTGTCCCTGGGCCTTGCCAGCAGGCCCAGCTGCTGTGAGTATGTTTGATAATGAAGAAAGCAGGGCCATCCCTGAAAGTAGGCTTTGTTCTAAACCACAGTTTTTCATTCTGTCATTTTCTCCTGTTTCTGGGCTGCTGTCTCTACAGGAAATAAAACAGATGGATGAATGGAATTGTTATTGTTTCTGTAGAACAAAGTCAGTGGTGTGAGGGGCTATGCTTCAAGGGGCACTTCAGGGTGCAGAGGGACTCCCGAGTCCAACACGGGCCTGAGAAGTGGGCAGAGGAGGGGCAAGTCCAGGGCACTTCGCATCAGTGTTCAATGCAATAAGCACCCAGCCTCCACTGACTGAGCTCAAGCCCCATTTGATAAATGCCCATCCATTCATCCACTTGTCCACCCAGCCTTCTGTTCTACGGCACTTTTATGAGTCAGGGACTGCTCTAGTGAAGTACAGGAGACAGGAGAGCCTTGCCCTCATGGTCTATGTTCCATTAGGGATGCTTAAAAAAGAGCTAAGAAACAGACACATCATCCATCGTGGGAAGTACCCTGAAGACCACATTCAGAATGTGCTAGAGTGACAGGGAGGGCCTGGGTATGGACGGGCAGCTGAGGAGCCAGCACAGGAGGGTGGCAGGAGGAAACTAGCACGGCTGAAGGGAAGGGAGCAGTGAGCATGGCAGGCTAGGGGTGAGCGTGAACCATGTCCTGCAGGGTCTGGGGAGAGTGGGAGATTGCCCACTGCTCTGATACATTAGCAAGAGCCCCGAGTTTGTGCTTGAGAAACAGCACTGCCTGGGTTTCGGTCATTGTTCTCAGAAGTCCTGGAGCATGGAAGGAAGATGGACACACAGACATCCAATTATCCTACAGTCTGCGGTGTCTGATGTTAGCTGTGTGTGCAATGTACTAGTCTGTTCTTACACTGCTAATAAAGGCATACCCAAGACTGGGTAATTTATAAAGGAAAGAGGTTTAATTGACTCAGTTCCATGTGGCTGGGGAGGCCTCACAATCATGGTGGAAGGCGAATGAGGAGCACAGTCACATCTTACGTGGCAGCAGGCGAGAGAGCTTGTGCAGGGGAGCTCCCATTTATAAAACCATCAGACTTAGTCACTACCATGAGAACAGTATGAGGGAAACTACCCCCAAGATTTAATTATCTCTACCTGGCCCCACCCTTGGGACATGGGGATTATCACAATCCAAGGTGAGATTTGGGTGGGGACACAGCTAAACGATATCATGCAAGGTGCACGTGTGGCAGAGAAGAGGGCCTGATGCATTCTTGACTGTCGAGGGAGGTGCGTCAGTTACACCTGTGTCTGTGTCAAAACTATCCCATCCCCCCAGCAAAAGCAGATTAAAACAACAGCATGTACTGTCTCATAGATTCCATGGATCAGGAATCTGAGAGTGGCTTAGCTGAGTGGTTTCCTCAGGGTCTTTTGCTAGGCTGCCCTCCAGCTTCTGGCCAATGCTACAGCCATCTCAAAGTTTAAATAAGTGTTCTCATTGTTCAACACCTGCCTATAATGCAATAAAATAAATTAAAAAAAAGTTTAAATAAGGCTGAAAAGGCACCTCCAAGCTCACTAGGAGCTGTTAGAAGCTTCTTGTGGGCTGTTGAATGGGGAACCTTTGTTCTGTGCTGGGTAATGGTTGCAGCCGCCCTAATCCTTTCCACCTGAGCCTGTCCACTGAATAGCTCACAACATGCCAGCTTCTGTACCCCATGGTGAGTGATGACAGCGGGAGGGAAGAAGAGAGAGAGACACACACACACACACACACACACACACAGAGAGAGAGAGAGAGAGAGAGAGAGAGAGAGAGAGAGAGAGAACACACTCAAGACAGCAGCCAGTCTTATGATCTCAGAAATGACATGCCATCCCTTCACACCAGGGGAGGGGAATTAAGTTCCAAATCTGTGGGCGTACTTGAAAAGCAACCACAAAAGTGGATGTCTGAGTGTGGCTCTGGGTGGTGACTGGGCAATTGCTTATTGCTCAAGGGCTTTCCTAGAAGAGACACCATGTGCCAAGGTGTGAATGTGCAGGTGTGGTTTGCCATGCGGTTAGATGCTGCACAGTGCAGGTGCAGAGTGAAGAGGAAGACACCCACCGGGGGAGCCAGGCAGAGCCAGGCCGTGGGAGGCTGGGTGTCCCGCAAAAGGGCCTGGGCTTTGTCTGCAGACTCTGTGTGTGCGAATGTATTCGTGCATGTGGATGTATGTTTAGTACCACAGCCCCTTTAAATTTTAGGGTTTTTTTTTACATTTTAAGTCTTTAAGGGGCCGTCATAGAAAAGGTGTGACAGAAGTAAGTTTTTATTTTAAAAGTTCACTAAAACAACCATGAAAGTGACTGGAAAGATGGAAAATAGGGACACGTGGAACTTGGAGGCCTTTGCAATAACGTCATTGAGGGGCTTGTTCAATGCGGTGCTGGTGACATGGAGAGAGGATGACAGTGTGGCCTTGTGTGTGTGGCTGAAGGCAGAGGCCATAGCACCTTCAGTGTAGAATGAAACACTGGACTTCAACATGTGTCCTGAAGCCCCTTGCGCGGGGGCTCCCTTACAGGAGAGGGTTGTATTAGTCTGTTCTCACACTGCTAATAAAGACATACCCAAGACTGGGTAATTTATAAAGGAAAGAGATTTAATTGACTCACAGTTCCATATGGCTGGGAGGCCCCATAATCATGGCAGAAGAGCAAGAAACATCTTACTTGGTGGCAGGCAAGAGAGAAAGAGAGCCAAGCAAAAGGGGAAACCCCTTGTGAAAACATCGGATCTCGTGACACTTATTCACTCACGGGAATAGTATGGGGGAGACCCTCCCCATGATTCACTTATCTTCCACCAGGTCCCTCTCGAAACATGTGGGAATTATGGGAGCTACAATTCAGGATGAGATTTGGATGGGGACACAGCCAAGCCAGATCAAGGACGTGAGAAGATGATGCTTAGCTCCCTGTGAAAATCCAGAGTGGAGCCCAGGGCAGGAGTGGTCCAGTGGTGGGCTGAGGAAGACCCCCCCAAAGAGGAAGTACAACCAGATACGAGGCCAGGGCCTGTCTGAAACCATGGAGGTATCTGGGTTCCAAAGTCCCTACAACTTATCCTCTCTCCTTCTTTCCAGTTTGACCTACAGCGGATTGTGATCTACTGTGACTCGCGACACGCAGAACTGGAGACTTGTTGTGACATCCCCTCGGGTCCGGTGAGCAGACTCTTGCGCAAAGAGGGAGGGGAGCCGAGCCACGCAGGTTCCTCCGGGGTTACTGCGGTCTGTGCCTTAGTGTAACCGCAGTGCTGCTAGCTGCATGATGACGCCCTGCTCAGGGGGATGTGGGAGGCAGGGGCTGGGAGGGCGTTTCTTATGAGGGGATGGCTGCCTGTGCCACACCAGCACCCAGAGGAGGGAGAGGCCGCAGTGCCCTTGGCTGGTCAGCAAGCCAGGAAGGTCAGGACACGGGTGGCCCAAGAGACCAAAGTTTGCGCTTTCAGCCCTCTGAGCAGGATCTGCTCTGTTCTCAGACTTCAGCCCCGGCCTCGTTTCAGGCCTCTCCCTTTCCAATGTTCTTTGCAAGGTCCTGGTTACAGGCTTGCTTGAAAGATGGGAATAGTGATGGAGCCTGCTTCCCGGGCTGCAGGATGAGATCCACGCAATGCCTGCTTAGCCTCGTCCCCAGGACCCAGTTCAAACCCAGCCAGTGCACCCGGTTCAGGGCTCCTGTGGTGTGCAGGTAGACAGCAGGCGCCGGGAATGTGGAGCCATGTGAGCCTGGTTGCAAAGTCAGAGGGTGAGGGAAGAAGGGAATGGGATGAAGAAGGAAGAGGAAGAGGTGAGGATGAGGATGGCAGGAACTGTGGAGCACCTGCGAGTGTGAGACCCTGAGCGGTTCCTACAGGTTGCTGAGCCAGCCAGTGAAATAGCTGACCCTGGGGTGGCCTGGCCTTCCGCCCCAAGGCCTCGGCAGAGACATCCTCAAACTTTGCCTGCCTGGTTCCAAAGAAGCACCGGACACTGTGCTCCTGCCAGGGAGTGTCTGTTGGGTGAAGAGCCAGGTTCTGACCTCCTGGGCTTTCCTTCCAGTGCCAGGTGACCGTGGTGACAGAGCCTCCACCTCCACCCCCACCCCAGCGGCCTCCCACCCCAGGCAGTGAACAGATTGGATTTTTGAAGACTATCAACTGCTCCTGCCCAGCTGGAGAGAAGGTATTGTCTGCAGTCCACACACAGCCCCAGCAGGATGCTGGGTGGTACAGGAGGGAGCTTCCCATCATGCATGTGGCCTGTCAGGGCAGGGGGCACTGGGAGGGGCACTGGGAGGCCCAGGCTGTCAGCTCACAGTGCCCTGTTGTTGTGCCTTGGACCTCTTGCTTCTTGATTTTTGTGCGCACTGGAAGGGGAGATTTGCAGACTAGGCCCTGAGGAACGCTTTCCAGAAGCGGATTCCAGCAGGTTCCTCAGGTTTCCCAGGTTCCTGATTTATGATCTCCACTCAGGAGCAACTGAGTCAAACGAGATACCATTTGAGACTAAGACTCAGAAGGGGACAGTGAGTGAGGATTTCACTGTGTTTTGCAGGAGCACACCCTCATTCTTCTCAATGTTTTCTTTGATTAGCTATGCATTATCTTTCTTGTATATATATATACACACACACACATACACATATAATGTGTATATATGTGTGTACACATACATGTATGTATACATACACACATAGGTGTGTATATATCCACTCAGCCCTTATTTATTGGCTTTCTCTGTACCAGGCTATGTATTAGTTGCTGAAAATACAGACATGGAAAAATCCCATCTCTGCTGTCTGGAACTTGTGATTATGGAAGTAACGAGAAGGAGACATTTTCGATCTAACGTGATAATTGTTATAATAAATAGAAGCACAGGGAGAAAAAGGAAGATGCTCTCTTCGAAGTAGCAGGTGTTCAGTGAATAATTATTGAATGGATATGTGTGTATATATGTGTATCTGTTCCTAGTTTTTAAAAGTGGCGCCTTTCTGTGGACACCACCACGACTGTCCTAGAATGGTCTGAGACTAGAATAAACATCGCATTGTGTGCCCAGGGCTGTGATTTGTTTTCTTTTTCTGTAGACAGTGACCCTTGATAAAGGGGGAAAAAAGTTCTTCTGTATTTAGTAGAAGAAACAGGAAGATTGACAAGATGCAGACACCAAGTAGAGCCGTGCTGGGGAAAGTCTCTGCGGGGTCCTGCCGAGCCGATGGCCCCTGGGACCTTCATCTCTCGCAATGGGCTGCACTGTCTCCCTCTGTCTGTTCCTCTCAGCTCAGTCCCTGCATGTGGGAGGTGTTTGGTGACTCTGCTGGGGACGAGGCATGCACAGACAGAAGGACGAGGTGACGGTGGCAGTTACCTGGAGCGGGCCTGCTCTGCGTATTGCAGCAGCAGCCTTCTGTTCAGAAGCCTATCCTGGTAGACAGACTGGCTTCCTTCCCTTCCCTCCTCGCCTCTGTTCTCCTTCACACTCTGCCTTCCTTCTTTTCGTACTACCCAGAAAACCAGACCCTGGGTTACAGGGAGCCCTCAGGGTGTTCTCAGTCAAGTGGGACATCAAACTCGGGCCTCCCTTGCTGGAGGCCCAAGCTGGAAGCCTGCTGTGAGGTGAGGCTGTTGCTGGGTAGTGGGTGACCTTAAGAGCACCTCAGCCTGGGGCCTGTGTAAGGGATGGCAGGAGGTGGAGGCAGGAGCCAGGGCTGGGGCACACAGCACCAAGCAGCAGCTCCTACACCCACCCCTGGCAGGCTAAGGTCCACCACAGTCAGGCTGTGGATCTGGTTTTTACATGTCAATGAAATAGCAGAAGCAGCTGTTGAAACCCAAATCCACTGGAATCTTTGCTTAAAGCAATGAGTTGGATGAGGGGTGATGGCATGGCGAGGTTTTGGTCACAAGCCAGTGTACACACAGATGGACTGTGCCAGGAGCGAGGACAGACCCAATGCCTGCTCTTCTTTCAAGATGTCCCAAGGAATTGTTTTCTGCACACCTTATGATCTATGTCATTTCCCCCTTCCCTCCCTCTCTTTCTTCCTCTTTCCTTCCTTTCCTTATTCTACATCTAACCATTCAATAATTATTCATTGAGCACCTGCCATTCCCTGACAGCATCTTCTTTTTTCTCCCTGGGCTTCTATTTATTATAACAATTATCACATTAGATCGAAAATGTCTCCTTCTCGTTACTACCGTAATCACAAGTTCCAGACAGCAGAGATGGGATTTTTCCATGTCTGTATTTTCAGCAACTAATACATAGTGTGGTACAGAGAAAGACAATAAATAAGGGCTGAGTTAATACATATATCAATCAGGGTATGAAGACATAGATGGACAGGTAGGTGGATGGACAGATGGGAGGGAGAGAGGGATAAAGGAACACACCCTGTCTTCCTCTAGGCACGACAAGTTTCGGCTGTTCCACTTGCACATTTTCAGCCTCACGCCTCGGGTGGCATGACTCAATAAGCGACTTTCTTCATCATTCCTTCCTCTAACGTCTAACCATAGACATTAAGCACCCGCTATGTGCTGTGCTCTGTGCTGTGCACTGAGGTTTGTTTTTTTTTTTTTTGAGACGGAGTTTCGCTCTTGTTACCCAGGCTGGAGTGCAATGGCGCGATCTCGGCTCACCGCAACCTCCGCCTCCTGGGTTCAGGCAATTATCCTGCCTCAGCCTCCTGAGTAGCTGGGATTACAGGCACGCACCACCATGCCCAGCTAACTTTTTGTATTTTTAGTAGAGACGGGGTTTCACCATGTTGACCAGGATGGTCTCGATCTCTTGACCTCGTGATCCACCCGCCTCGGCCTCCCAAAGTGCTGGGATTACAGGCTTGAGCCACCGCGCCAGGCCCGGTTTTAAGACAAATAGAATTGAGCCCTCAAAAATTCTGTAGTCTATACCCTGGTTGGGGAACTAGGAGCTCTGAGGCCTGGCTAAGTCCCAGGGAGCTCATACCAGTCCTGCTAGAGAACTTCCCAAGCACAGGTGGGTGAGAAGGGGGCCTGCTGTTCCCTCCCTGCAAAATAGCCGCATGGAGTGGAAGAACTTCACATGGACCTCATTAAGCAGGTGTCATTTCTGTCCTCCATCTTCATTTCAATAAAACAATACAACAAAGAGGGCCTAGAAAGTCTGAAAGTTTTCTCCTAGGAGGCAGAATGCTGGCTACAGGTAGACATTGTTTCTAGTGGTTTCAATCTTCAATCGAGTTTGCAAAACATTTTTATTATTCAGCTTGGTCAACATGATGCCTGGCATTACATCTCTATAAGCAAACAGCATGGTGAGCGTGAACTGTGTACCAGGCTCTCTTGTGGGAGCTTGGTGAGGAGAAACGCAAAAAATTATTTATCTTCATTTGCATGAGCAAATGACATCTGTGAATGCATTAAAAAATGTATGTCCCTGAGTTGGCCAGGTATGCAACTGTGAGCAGAGTGTAGATTGCTGTTAGCACTAAGCATACATGTAAATGGTGTAGTGCTGCCTTGTATTAATGTGGTGATATTTACATCTATAAAATTATATTAATTGTGTTACATTTGTCTTCAGTATGATGACATTTGCATATATCCACAACTTAAAGATTACTTGTAAATGTAGTAATGTGATCTTTACACATTCTTACATTGGAACCGAGTTTACATTTAGAAACAGCTTACAGACATGTCTTCTTTTGTATTTTAGTGAACAATAAGTACATGGGCCATTAGCAGGCAACATCATTTTCTTTTTAGTTGAAGTGATGATATATTCAGGTAAAAATAGCTGGTGAAGCCAGGTGTGGTGGCTCAAGCCTGTAATCCCAGCACTTTGGGAGGCCGAAGCAAGAGGATCAGGAGCTCAGGAGATCTAGATCATCCTGGCTAACATGGTGAAACCCCGTCTCGACTAGAAATACAAAAAATTGTATTTTTTTGTATTTCTACAGGGTGTGGTGGGCACCTGTAGTCCCAGCTACTCGGGAGGCTGAGGCAGGAGAATTGCTTGGACCCAGGAGGCGGAGGTTGCAGTGAGCCAAGATAGCGCCATTGCACTCCAGCCTGGGCGACACAGTGAGACTTAGTCTCAAAAAAAAAAAAAAGCCAGTGAATACCCCTTTGGGTTTTTTAATTTACTTCTGTATTTAGTTTTGCTATTGACAAACTATATAATTGCTTATCTTTATGGGGTACAAAGTGATGCCATAATACATGTATACAACATGGAATGATTGAAATTAGTGAATTAACATATCCATCACCTCAAATACTTGCCATTATTATTCCTGTCTGACACACGGAGCCTTTGGCAGCATGTCTGGATTCCCCCAGCTCCATAGCCCCCGGTAGCCACCGCTCTGCTTTCTGCTTATAGGTATTTCAAGTTTTTACTTACACTGATAAGCAGAAACGTGGCATTTATCTTTCTGTGCCTGGGTTCGCTTGTTTCTATCTTGTGACCACAGGTAACTGCACCTGGAGGCTGTGTTAAAACTTCCCATGTAGGTTTGCAGCTCGAGAGCAGAAACTTCAGTGCAGTCAACCAATTTTCTTCTCAAAGCATTGGTCAGCGCTGGGCTTACTAAGCATTGGTTTCTAAGCGTGTGGGGCAGAGAACCATCCAGTGATGAAAGAACAGAAAACTTAAAATAGAAACTTACTTTTGTTGTCTTTTGTCTTTTAGGGTGAAATGGGATTTGCTGGCCCCAGGGGGCTCCCTGGTCCAAAGGTCAGTACAGGCATGGCAGAGGCGTAGAACCTCACTAGTCCTCTGCTCTGCTCTCTATGTAAGACAAAAGATGGGGGGTGAGAATGCTGTCTTGCCAGTATTTGCCCCAGAGCTTGCTGAACCAGGAGGATAAGAGTGAGTGGCACAGAGTCTGAAACCTGGGAGTCTCTTAACTGCCCAGAACTTCCAGCTCTCAGCCTGCATATGAGCAAGAAAGGGTTAGATTCCCAGAGCCCTGGCTCAGATCTCATTTGTTCCAAGGAGCTTAGGTCTCCATGGTCAAGTAACTTTGCAGCAACTGGTTGAAGCTGCTGTATCCTGGAAACTTTTAGGGGTTGGGCTTTTAAGATGTATTAAATTGCATAACTCTTTAAACACACAATTCCCAAAGTCACTAATTACACCAAGCCAGGGAGGGCCCCTCTGTCCTCAGTCACAGAGTGGTCTCCTTCCTCTCCATCATTTCCCAGGCTTACATTGTTTATCAAGGCAGAGCGGAGAGTTCAGCAGCAGCTGTGTTTGAAAGAGGAGCTGAGTGTGGAGGTGAAAATCCCTGGAGACAGCTGGGCCTCTCCCTCCCCTTCCCTCCCTTTCTTTCCCTTCTCTCCCCAGCCTCTGCCTCTCTTTGTGTATCTCTGTCTCTCACTCTCAGCATCTCTTTTCATCTCTCTGTTTCCTTCTGCTCTGTTCTCCCCTCATTTCTCCTCCTGCATGTCTTAGTTAGAATTAATTCATTCAGCACATCATTAGTGAACACCTGCTGAGGGCCATGCACTGAGGTCAAGTCCACGGTTAGAGGATGGTTTAGACAGGACCTGACCCTCACATGCCTGCATCTGATGGTACAGACAGACCAGGGAGTACATGGACTCTCTTTCTTTTTGCACACTTCTTTCCCATCTTCCATTGTCTTCCACTGAATTAAGGCAACAATGACTGTGCACCTGCTGTGTGTCAGGCTTGAGCTGGGAGCCTACCTATGTCTCAGACAGCAGGTGCCATGGGTAAGGACTGCTGTTACAGTGCCCACTGCTGGGAGCTCAGGGCTGCGCACATTGCAGGTGGTCCCTTCTTGTTGAATGAGTGATATCAAACCCTAAATCAACCCTGCATGAGAGGCAGCATCGGCCCCATTCTACAGATGAGAAGTCATTACAAAGGCTGAAATGGTGAGACGACTCAGCTGAGCAATGCTTTTTTCCTGTCCGCCTTTGCTGGGCATGCTTTCCCTTCCTGTGTGTCCCTACTCGCTTCCTCTCTTGCCTTGTCTGTTTCTCCTCTCCTCTCCTCTCCCTTTCTCTTTCTCTTTTCTCTCCTCCTGACTGTAGGTACTTCCTTGGGGTCCCTCCCTCATCTCACACCCTTCTCCGCTTTGCCCCACTCTGCTAGGATGTGACACCATGGACACACACACACCCCATTACACAGACACACACAATCACACCATCACACACCATCAAACATGCCATCTCACACACATACACCATCACACATGTATACACATATACCATCACAAACTCACCATCACACACACACCATCACCTACACCAACACACATATACTATCACACACATACTATCACCATCCCACACCACACATGACACATACACACACTGTCACACATCATCACACATACCATCACACACCCACACCATCGCCTACCCACACACCATCACACACCATCACCCACATCACACACCCACACTATCACACACATCACACTCATACCATCACACATACACACACAGCATCACATACTCACACCATCACACATACACACACACCATCACACACACATGCATGCACACACCATCTCACACTATCACATACACACCATCACACACCATCGCCTATACCAACACACACAAACCATCACACACACACTCTCACGCACACACCCATATGCACATACACATCACACACACCCACCACACACATCACATACACACATACACACATACGCCCCACATCACATACACACCCCCATCACACACCATCACACACACACACGCCATCACACACACACATGCACATACCCCACATCACACACACCCCGTCATACGCACACACCATCACACACACGCCCCACATCACACACAGCCCATCATACACACACACCATCACAACACATGCCCCACATCACACATACCCCATACACACACATGCCATCACACACATGCCCCACATCACACACACACCCCATCACACACACACCCCATCACACACCATCACACACACACACCATCACACACTCATATGCACACATGCATACACCCCACATCACACACACGCACCATCACACACACGCACCATCACACACATGCCCCACATCACACACACCCCATTCCACATATGCACATCTCACACACACACACACACACGCCCCATCACACACACCCTCTGCCCCCTCAGCTCCCCTCCCCTGGTGAGCCCTCTCCTCGTGCTGATGGAGAGCAGCTCAGAGCAGTCCAGGTGCCAGGTGGTCACTGAGGAGGATGGCAGGGTTTTTATATCATTGAGCTCCTCTGAGAAGTCACCTCAGATTCTCGGCTGTGACAGGAGGAAAGAGCAAAGCTACCTGGGGTTTCATAGACCTCTCAGTAGAGAACGTCTGTCTGAAGGGGGGGTTGTTTCGTAATGCCTGCTGCTGCTGTGCTTGGGCAGAGTGGGCCCTGGGCCCCACAAGGAGAGCAGAGGCGGTGGGAGGAGAGGGGCACTGAAAAGGGAAACTGACACGGCCACCTGGAGACGTGCCCGGCTCCCACAGAGCTAGCTTGCAGTTGTGGTCCTATAGTGTCATCCGTCACATTGTCCCAAACCATGGCTAGGACCCTAAGTCAACAGCTGGGGTTCCTGGTGGCTCTGTGTCCCTACACAGAGCTTGGGCTCTGTCCACGTGCATAACCTGAGTCCATTGGGTGCAAGGCCCAGTCGTGATATGGGAATATAAAGGTGACTGACAGAGAGCCCTGTCTCCAGGACTCACAGGCCAGGGGGAAGGAAGGCAGGAAAGAGCAGAGTGGAACTTTATGAAGGGAGTCAGGTTAGAGGGGCCCGGGAGCTGAGGGGCTGAGAGGAGAGGCCCCGTCGCTACCTGGCAGGACTTCAGGGCACGTTTCCGCTGACATCCCTGACCTGCTGGGTCCAGTAGAATAGATGGGAGCTGCCCAGGACAAAGGAGGCAGGGAAGGGCATCACATCAAAGGGAACCACAAAAGCAAGGTAGCTATGTGTTCTTAGAATACAAAAGATGAGATGGGAACGAAAGAGATAAAGTTCCAGACCAGGAAGAAAGACAAAAGAATAGAACTGAAGGCTCTGTTTCCTGGGCCTGAAGCTATCTGGGATTGGCTCATGAAATGGCAGGAGATTTGGGCTCCAGTTCAACACTTGGTTGGCGATGAGCTTTTCCTCCCTTGTGGGCGCAGCTTTTTCCTCTGCCTGCCCTTGTTCTCTTCCTGGACAGCTGTGAAGGCCCCAGGTGCACAGGGTATGGACTTGTTACACAAACTGAATGTCCAGGGGACTCTGGTTGCCACTTTTCAAAGTGCCTTTATGCTCTTACTCTTGTGTGCCTGCATGAGGACTTGCCTATCTATAGAGGAGAAGCCTGAGGCCCCCCAACTCTGTAGTGATGTGCTCATGTGAAGTGGCGGGGCTGCTGTTCAAACCTGCAGCTTCCTCTTCCCCCTCTGAGACCCTGGTGGTGGGATCAGGCCATTCCAGGGATGAATGTGCAATGTCTTCATGCACTTGCTTTCTCAAGAAGTCCCTGGTTCCTGGAATTGTGATGTTGGGGATGACTTAGATGTGTCCTCCTCTCCAGGGGTGGGACATGTGGCTTACTGTGCAAATGGCAAAGACGAAATCAGCTGCTTCTAGGGAATTGGGGCAAGGTTGGCCATGATGGTCCTGTGTGTGCAAGAGCCCTGTCGGAGAACCTAATCTGATGCTGGCCTGTGTTCTCAAACCCTCAGGGAGACATAGGAGCCACTGGGCCGGTGGGCGCTCCTGGACCTAAGGGAGAGAAAGGTGATGTGGTGAGTAGATGGCTGCTCCTCTGCACGGCTGGACCTCAGGGATCCCACTGACACCTGCAGGGGGCCAGGCACCATGCCCACACCACCCTCAAGAGGAAGCTCTAGCTCCTCTCCGTGGGCATGGAGGCGTGCTAGATGTGGCCTTGGTGGACTCTCTGGCCTTGTCCCTTGCCACCCTATAACCAGAATTCTGTGCTTTGAATCATCAGTTACTAACCCTCTAATTGGTTATTTTGTTGTGCCCTGCCTGACTCTGGCCATTACACAGGTTCTTTCCTCTGCCAAGAATAATGTTTCCTTCTCCGCACCCCTGTCTTCCCCTCACCACCCCTTCCTGCTTGGCTCATGGGTTCTCATCATTCCCACTCAACTGTGTCTAACTCTCCAGGGCATTGCTCCAAACTCCAGCTCTGTGCTCTCACAGCATCTCCTCTGTCCCAGCACCAGAGGACTCCCAGGTGTCCTGGTCTGTGATTTATCGTCACAGCATTTCCAGCACCTGGGCTAGCAGGAATTGTATTCATCAGTCTTTCAGCTGATGAGTGAATGCAATTAATGATGGGTCAGGAAAGAATTGCAGAGATGAAGAAGTCACCATTCAGGGTGGGCCTCAGGAGCTGAATGGCTGAGAAGTGAATTCCAGCTCCACCTAGATACTTTGCCTTTCCATCCTTAGGTTCCTCATCTGTAAAATGGGGATAATAAAACAACCTATTCCATAGCATTATGAAGATTAAATAAGTGAATGCATGCAAATGCTGTAGAACAGTAGTGAGTGCAGTGATTGCTGTTGCCAGTCCCTGTCCTCCTGCATGGAACCATGTAGTATCAACGGCACAAGTTTGGTGTCAAAGGGACCTCAGTCATTGTCCTTGGCTGTGGCTTTTATTAGCTGTGTGACCTTGGGCAGGTTCTCTTCCTTTCTTTCCTTTCTTTCCTTTCTTTCCTCTCTCTCTCTCTTTCTCTTCCCCCCCTTTCCTCCCTCCCTCCTTCCCTCCCTCCCTCTCTCTTTCTTTCTTTCTTTTCTTTATTTCTGACACAAACTCTTGCTCTTGTCACCTGGGCTGGAGTGCAATGGTGCCATCTCAGCTCACTGCAACCTTCCCCTCCAGGGTTTAAGCGATTCTCCTGCCTCAGCCTCCCGAGTAGCTGGGATTACAGGTGTGCATCACCACGCCCGGCTAATTTTTGTATTTTTGGTGGAGATGGAGTTTCACCATGTTGGCCAGGCTGGTCTCAAACTCCTGACCTCAGATGATCCACCTGCCTTGGCCTTCCAAAGTGCTGGGGTAAAGCCTCATTTACACATTAGCAAAATCAAGAGTGTAACAACTTCTTAGTTTACAAAATGCCTGGCCCATAGTGGACGGTCAGTGAATGACTGTTGTCTTTTTAGGTGTGTGTGATTATAATTAGTTCTTCTAGGTTCTCAGTGCTCAGGGGGAAACCCAGGAAACAAGACAAGCCTCTTTCCTGGAAGAATTAGCCTGGCAAATGCCATTCCCTCAGCACCCCACACTGTTGTTCCCTCACACCGTGGTGCTGCCATCGTCCCCTCCTGGCACGTGCATCGTGTAGAGTCTCACGTTTGCCCCATGCGACAGCTTTTACCACAGTCTCACCACAGATCTAAAGGGAATGACGCTGGTTTCTCAGGCTTGAATGACTTGCTGTCAATCACAGAGGTCGGATGTGGCAGAGGCAGAATTTGCACCTGCATCTGTTTTAATCTGGGTCCTGTGCTCAATTGGCTGTGCGTCACCTTCACCTACACATGCATATCTACCTCCTCTGTGTAGGTAGGAAGCACCTGTTGTGTGCAAAATAACATGGAAATAAGTAGAGCTGGTCACATTTATTTACCAGCACTTACCACACTCCTGGCTCTGCATTGTATGATTCACACACTTGGGGCTCACTTAACTCTCACATCAACTTGGTGAGCTGAGGCCTGCTGAAATGGCCACCTTCCAGGTGAGCAACCTGAAGCTCAGAGAAATGTGGTAACTCATACAAGTGTGGTTTTTAGAAACTCACTTGTCAGGCAGTAGGTGCAAGCAATGTAAGACCCGTTCCTCCCCCCTCCACGTCTGGGACAAGACACAATCTAGGACACGTGCTGTCACTAGTAGCTGGGTTCAAAGGAAGGGAGATTGGGAGAACATTCTGAAATCAGAGAAACCACCAGAATTAGCCAGAGAACAAACATGGATGTACTCTGGAGCGCTGAACTCTGGGAAGTGGCCCATTGTATAATTATGATTATTATTACCAGCCTGATGTCATCAGCAGCTCTATTGAGGCCAAATAGCACTGTGATTGAGGAAGCAGCTAGCATCAGGCAGCCTACATTCAAATTTTGGTCCATAACCTACTAGCTTCATGAACTGAAGAAGCTGCTAGAACTTTCTGAGGTTCACTTTTCACATTTGTGAAAAAGATATAAAAATAATGTCTGTAGCGGTTCTGCTTCTGAAATGGCAACATGAGGAACTCTGTGAATCCACTCTCCCAAAAGTGATAATACCTGGTGATATTCCAACATTTTTCACCTCCTGCATCTGGAGTTCCAGAATCTAAACTCTTGGCAGATGCAGCCAAGGGATAGGGCTCTCTTCCTTCACCCAACCCCCCTTCATAGGGTGGAAGTGCAGCTTCAGGCATGACAAGCCAAGAATGTTGGATTCTGATCAGAGCTCTTCCAAAAGGCACTGACTTTGAAACAGAATGTAGGGAAGTCTAAGTGTAAGGGTTCTCTAGAAACAAAGGAGATGTTGGTGGTAAGAAATTAAAAGGAGACTGATAGCTCCATGGTAAACCATAACTTTACCATAGCTAGTTTACCATAAAGAACCAGGGGGAAAACACCACTAAGAAGAATGCTCCTGGCATCAGAAAAAAACCCTCCATGACTACCCACAACAGCTACCCATGCAAAGGGGACCCGATTTAGTTTGATCAGACTGTGGAGCTATTAACGCCGTATGGCACTGTAGAAAATAGTAAAGGAATCAGCTGGAAAGTAATGGAACCTAACAGCTGAATTGAATGTAAGCAGAGGTGGACAGTTTGACCAAGAAATCAAGAAAAAAGACTCAAAATGAGCCTTGCTAAAACCATAGTCACCCTGGGGTATCTGTACAGATCCAAGTCCATGCCCTCTGAAAACTGGCCTCAGAGATGTAACACTGGGGAGGGGAAATCGATTTGATTAAAATAGTCTAGCCAAGTCAGTAAGCAAATAAACAAGAAAACAACAAAACAAATTTTATAATTTTTGGTAGGGGAAGTGCTAACATCCAGAGTTGGTATAATATATTGTGTAAAATGTCCAATTTTCAACAAAATTATAAAACATGCTGAGAAACAGAAAAATCTGACACATACACCGCAAAAGACAGCAGACAGCAGCAACCGCCTGAGAGAGGATGCAAATGTCAGATTTTACAGACAAAGACTTCAAAGTAGTCATTATAATTATGATCAAAGAACTAAAGGAAATCATTCTGATGTAAGCAAAAGAAAGCATAATGACAATATTTCATCCAATACAGAATATCAGTAAGTAATTTCTAACTCTTTAAGTATATGTATCCAAATATAAGTTCTGTAGTTTAAAATTATAATGAATGAAATTTTAAAAATCTAGAGAGACTCAATGCAAAGATGAGAATTATTGAAATTAGACGAATAGAGATTACGTAATCTGAAGAACAGAGAGAAAAAATAATGAAGAAAAATGGACAGAGTATTGGAGAAATGTAGAGGTTCCTAAAGTGCATGAATCTACACCTACCGGGAATTAAAGTAGAAGAGGAGAGAAAGGAGCGGAAAGTATTCAAACAAATAATGGCTGAAGGCATCTCAGATTTTATGAAAAGCAGTAATCTACATATTCAAGATGTTCAGTGAACCCCAATTAACACAAACACAAAGAGATCCACACTACAAACAACATGGTAAAAATGCCAAAAACAGAAAAAATTTGAAAGTAGCAAAAAAAAAGAATGACTCATCATGTACAGGGAAACCCCAAAAAGATTAACAGCTGACTCGTCATCAGAAATGACTGAGGCTAGAAGGCAGAGGGATGGCACCTCACGTATAACCATACATTACAACCATGTATGGTTGGTTTTAACAAACATGCATGTAATATGCATAACGATAGCACAAAAAAAGGGGGAAGAAAGGATAGAACTGAGAAGGAGTCTGTTTTTATGTTTCATTGGAATTAAGTTTTTATAAAACTAGAGTAGATTCTATTATGTATACGATAAACTCTAGAGCACCCTTTAAGGAAATAACTCCAAAATATATAGTGAAAATATTATGAAAATAATGTAAATGTTATACTAGGAAGTACTCAATTCAAAAAAGAGCAGTAAAGGAGAAATAAAGTAACATAAGTGGGCAGGAGACATGTAGAAAACAAAAATTAATATGACATATATAAATCTAACTATATAATATGATGTGTGAATATACTACATGAACCATCTAAAAATCAGAGATTTTAAGACACGTTATAATAACAAGATCAAATTATATCCTGTCTATAGAAGACATAATTTAGATCCAAAGATACAAATAGGTGTATCTTTTGTATTCAAAGATACACATAGGTTTCAATAGGTTGAAAATGAAAGGATGGAAAATATACATCTTAAAAATAAAAAACTGGGGTGACTGTGCTAATATTAGACAAAATAGACTTTAAAACAAAAAATAGAGATAAAGAGGGACATTTTATATTGACAAAAATTAATTCTTAAAAATATAGCAATTATAAACATATATGTACCTAACAAAGCCCCAGAATACATGAAGGAAAAACTGGCAGCATTTAAAGGAGAAATAAAAAATTAATAGAGACTTTAATACCTCCTTTTCAATAACAGGTAGAACAACTAGGAGTGTGGAGAAATTGGAATCTTTATGGATTGCTTGCATAATGTGGTGCAGTTCCTTTGGAAAACAGCCTTGCAGCCCTTAGGTTAAGGACAGAGTTACCATATGACCCAGCAATTCAATTCTACATTTAGGAATATGCCCCTCAAAAATGCAAACTATGTTTACATAAAAGCTTACACAAAAATGTTTATAGCAGCATTATTTACAATAGCCAAAAGTAAAAACCCAAATGTCTATCACCTGAAGAATAGGGAAACAAAATGTATGTCATATCCATACAATGTCGTATCGTTTTGCAATAAAATGAAGTACTTATACATGGTCCAACATAGATTAACATTGGAAAGACTTTGCTGAGTGAAAGAAGCCAATTATAAAAGACCACATGTTATATGATTCAATTCATATAAAAAAACATACAGAATAGACAAGTTTATAGATACAGAAAATAGTTTAATGTTTGCCTAGAGCTGGAATAGAGGAAGTGTGGAGTCATTGCTAATAGATACAGGTTGTTTCTGAGGTGATAAAAATATTCTAAAGTTGATTGTGGGGATTTTGTTGCACAACTTTATGAATATACTAAAAATAACTGAATTGTACATTTTAAGCAGGTGAATTATGTGTCATGCAAACTATATTTCAATAAAACTGCTATGGAAACAAAAAATGGCAACTATAATATTGAGTTATTGGAAATACTAAGTGAGAGGATACTCATGAGAATATGTACTTAGTAAACAATAGTCATAATTTCTTTTAGTGGCTACTGGGCAGAGCTGATGAGAAAACATCTAATCCTTTCAAATCTCAGGATGATGCTGCCATATGCAATGTCACGCCATGGAGATGCTCTGTCGTGAATGTTTGCCTCCTTTCATTTTTCTAGGGCATAGGACCTTTTGGCCAAGGACAAAAGGGTGAAAAGGTAAGCATCTTCCTTTTATCACGCTCCTCCAAGGGAATGGGACAGAGGACTTAGGTATGGGGGAGGTGTGTGCTACTATATGTTGCCTGGAAGGAATTCGAGTGGGAGAAAAAAAGTGGCCTGGGCTGTGTAACTGCCCTCAATGTCCTCCGTGACTTGGGTGGTTGAAGCATTTACTGTACTCAACAGAAAGAGAGAAGGTGGAGACGAAAAATGGCAAAATGGTGGTTGGATAATTGAGTAGGACAAATATATTTTGGGGGACTCAGGGCATATTCTGTTGGAAATGTTGACGTTTGAATGATACCCAAGAAGTGGAAATCAGGGGGTAGGTTCTGCTCCATAAAATAAGGAACATCAGAAGAATTTGTGGGAAATATAAAGATGTTCTCCCTAGCTATGCATGTTGCACCTTCTTTTACGTTCAATAAAAGGAGGTAAAAGGCTTGGCAGACCCTGGGAAATATGGCATTCCTCCTAAAGAAGAAATTCTTCTTCAGATGTTAGCCTATAAGGGTGAATAAAAAGCAGCCACTAAAAATGTCATTTTCTATTCATACCAGCTATTTAAAAAACAAAAGGAAAAAAGAACCAAAATGTTGGCATTTTCCTGGAGAGGGAGCCACAAGACTTGACAGTGCAAATGAATGTTGATGCTTTCACTGGAGTCCAGGCACTTGTGGACTCACAATGTAGTACTGTTGGGTCCTGAGAGGTCATTCATTGTTCAGAGGGGGTCACATCAGCCCTTTGCATAGGGCTGATTATGTAATGCATATAGCACTCTATGAAGTTACAGTAGAAACAGTTTTCATGTGGCCAGCTCGTCCTCTCCCTGTAGGCACTCTTACATGTCTAGCGGTGCTCTAAGGAGATAAATCAAGGAGCTGTGCTCCAAGGAGATAAAGACATGCACAAGGACATATCCATGTGTGCTTATAAGTGAGACCAGAAATGACACAATGCTGTGCAGTGGGGCTGTAGAAATACATTATCGTACACCGCAATAATGCAACAGTATCCAATGATGCAAAACGTCATTTAGGAGAAGAACTAATGACCTAGAGAATGCAGTCAATATTTTGTCCATTTTTAAAGCACGTTGCAAAATGTGTATACAGTATGACCCCAGGGGTGTGTGTGTATGTGTGTGTGTGTGTGTGACTGAGAGAGAGGAGAGACTGAGATAAATTAATGATGGAGACGAACCCCTATTATTAACCACTGGTTGTCTGTGGGTGAGAAAGTTATGAGGATATTTATTTTCTCCCTTATGTTTCTTTGTGTCTGTCTTTATTTCACAATGAGCTCCTCCATTAAAATCATAGGCACACACATAATGTGGCTACTGCACAAGGAAGAAAAGCAGTTTGGACGTAGCACAACACACAGCATCACAGAAGGGGTACAACCAGGCAGGCGTAGTTCATGTCTCCTTTCCGCCCCTCTCTGGCTCTGCCATCAGCTCTGAGCCTCCATCTCCCGACCTAAAAATGGGGTTATGGTAGCTGCCATGTTCCATGACTTCTCTGTGATTTAACAGCCCAGCACCTGGAATCTAGATGCTCAAATTCAGTAGCTACTTTCTTGTTTTAATTTTTTAAATTAGTGTCATTTAATTGTGGTAAGAACACAAGATGAAAATCTACCCCCCTAACAAACTTTTAAGTGTGAAGTACAGTCCTGTGGACCACGGGCCTGGTGCGGGGCAGCAGATCGCTAGAATGCATTCATATTGCTTAACTGAGACTTATGCCCATTAATTGGCATCTCCCCATTTCCTCTCCCCAACCCCTGGAAACAACTATTCTACTCTTTAATTCTTGGAATTTGACTATTTTAGGTACTTTATATGCGGAATTATGTAGTATTTGTCTTTTCTGCATCTGGCTTATTTCAGTTAGCATAATGTTCTCCAGATTCATTCATGTTGTCAAAAAGACAATTTCCTTCTTTTTAAATGGTGAAAAGCATTCTATTGGGTATGAAAAATAGAACTACAATATGATCTAGCAGTTCAACATACCATGTTTTCTTTATCCATCCATCCACTGAAGGATATCTACGTTATTTCCATATCTTGGCCATCATGAATTATGCTGCTGTAAACATGGGAGTGTGGATATCTCCATGAGAGCCTGATTTCAACTCTTTTGAATACTCAGAAGCAGAATTGCTAGATCATACAGTGGTTCTACTTTTTTTTTTTTTTTTTTTTTTTTTTTTTTTTTTTTTTCTTTCTTTTTTCCTTGTTTGTGTTGCAATGGCACGATCTCGGCTCACTGCAACCTCCACCTCCCAGGTTCAATTGATTCTCCTACCTCAGCCTCTTGAGTAGTTGGGATTACAGGTGCCTGCCACCATACTGGCTAATTTTTGTATTTTTAGGAGAGACAGGGTTTCACCATGTTGGCCAGGATGGTCTGGATCTCTTGACCTCGTGATCTGCCCACCTTGGCCTCCCAAAGTGCTGGGATTACAGGTGTGAGCCACCATGCCCGACCTATTGTTCTCTTTTTAATCTTCCTTGCAAGGAGCCACCATACTGTTCTCCACAGGGGTGATATCATCTGTGTTCCCACCAACAGTGTTCGACAGCTACTTTCATTGTTGCTAGCATGCTTGGTTCTAGTGGACAGAGACCTGGCACAGAGTATGAAGAGGGCACCCAGGTATTCCTCCAGATCAGAAGCCAGGGCTGCCAGGGTCTGGAGGTCAGAATATTTGGTCTGGATGGTGGCTGCCAGGCAATACTATGCAGCTCTGTGACCTCCTTCCCATGTTCCTCTGTGATCAGCCTTTCCTCTCAACTAATGTGTCCTTCTCATGTGTTCCTGTCACCAGGCAGGGACCACCAGCCTCCTTCCTCCCTACGGGCTGCAGGGCATCTCTGCCTCATTGGTTTGGGGGTGAGCTCACGCCGGGCAGCAATGGATGTCTGTTCTCCCTTAGCCGGAAGGCACATTCCTTGTGCCCTGCATCCTACCTGCAGCATCACATTCAAGGCTCTGATGCTGCGAGGGCATAGTTGTGGCCATGGAGACCTCCTTACATATTCAATGTTGGCAGAAGAGACAGGCAGCTGAATGGACGCTGGCACTTCTGGCTCTGTCCTTGGTTGACATTTTTCTGCGGTTGGTATTTTTAGCAAAGTCTGAGTCTAGGTTCCACCATATATTAGCTGTGTGATTTGGAGTGAGTCACTTCCGTCTCTGGGTCTCTGCTTCCTCATCTGTACAGTGGAGGGGGTGGGATGAGATGATGCATAAAGGCCCTTTCAGGCAGCAGCTCTGACATTAGGGAATCAGCCCACCCCCTGCCTTTGCCTTCTAGGGCTCTTTTCTGTAACCTGAAGTCTCTGCTTTTCCTGTGGAAATGAGGGGACCAGAGTGGGCTGAGGGGATTGATAGCACCTAGAGAGAGGAGAAGGCCACTTATGACTCATGCATTGGGACTAGGCTGGTACCAGCTGGCTTCTTAGCTGACTGTTGTCTCCAAAGTAATTGCCACATAGATTAGATGGAGTTTGGTGGTATTGGGTAGACCAGAGCTCTGGATGGGTCCAGGGATGGTAATATACTTATTATGGCTGTGTTTTATATATATTTGGAATTGTAACTAACCACTGTGGCAGTGTGCATATACCAGGGTGGATGTACAAGGCACCCTGCTAAGGATATTTCATACTTACCCTCTCATCATTAAGACATGCTTCAGGGAAGGCACTGCTGTACCCATTTCAAGGATGAGAAGAACACGGCACTGGGGTCAAGTGAATTGCACAAGGTCACACAGTATGTGCCCAGGAAACACAATCACTGATGGTTACTTAAATGAAGGGAAGCTGTAGAGCTGATTGAATCACTGTTCTTTGGCAGCTAGGGAAACTGAGGCTTAGAGAAGGTGAGTGATCTTGGCTCATACACTGAATACAACAGTAACAACAGCATACTCGCATTAGTGATGTGAAGGGTTGGCAAGTTTATCCATGAGAAGAGATAGCAAGGGGCCTGGCAAATGGAGCAGTTTCAGAAAGATGGAGCAAGAATCAGGTCTGAGCTATTCTCCAAGTGTGCGGGTCAGTTCAGGCACCTTCTTCAGGTTAGTCCCATCAGAATAGGCTCCGTACTGTCACTTAGAAGGACACATGCCCTTTTCTCCCTGGGCCCATGGATCTGAGGATGAGAGCCCTGAAATTCCCATAGCTGTGTTGCTGCCATGAAAGGAGCCAGTTCAGAGAAGACGAAGGTGACCCTGAGATGAAGCTTAGCCCTGAAACGGATCGGTTGCTGAGTAGAGAGCAGGCTCACCTCAGGCGGCTCTCCAGTGTCTCCAGAGCTGCAAAGCAATGCATTTCCTGCCAGGGATCTTAGGTTTCTTTGTGAACAGTAGCTATTATTACTATTACAGGTAGAGGTGGGATGGGTTATCAGCGGTGGTGGCCTTTCAGGCAGGGATTTGCTTAGACAAGGGCTTGGAGGTGGGACAGTGTTGGGCTCTGAAGAGACCCAGTTTTCCTGGAGTGCACAGTAACAGAGGACATAGGAGCATGAGGGTCTGATGGCCCTGATGGAGCCTGTACTACACCTTACAGATTGTCAGGGGCCCCGAGACCTACTGAGAATGAAACAGGGGCAAAGTGTCCCATAAAGCCGTGCTTGGGTCAGCAACTAGGGACTCAGCATTTGGTAGAGGGAGAAAATACAAAAACGACCATCTCCTAAAAGTCCTTTCTTAAGCATTTTCACAGAAATCCATATGGCAATAAATAAAACTTCATATGGATTTTCTGCTCAGATTTCACAGTATGGTGCACCAGAAAAAAAAAATCAGCAAGCAAATATAAGAAACTCAGCTAAATTTTACTGGGCTTGTTGAGTCAGCAGTAGATGGAATTTTGGGTCACAGAAACATCAGTTCATTGTCTTTTATGGTTTTCTTCCATTTTACTGGCACCATAAACCTGACAGGGGATGAACATGGTGAAAGATGAGTCTCTG